AAGTTATTTAACATGTTTTGGATTGTTCAAGGACTTATTTGTTCCAAAAATTGTCCAAGGGCTTATTTAACATTTTTTGGAATGTCCAATGACTTATTTGTTCCAAAAATTGTCCAATGACTTATTTAACATATTTTGGAATGTTCAATGACTTATTTAACATGTTTTGGAAAGTCCAAGAACTTATTTGTTCCAAAAAAAAGTTCAAGGACTTAATCATTCCAAACAAGAAAGTTCATTGGTTTTTATTGTACTTTTCCCTAAAATAAATTAATATTGATTTACATTCCTAAAATAAAATATTAATATCATTTAGTGAAATAATTTCAAAAAAATAAATCCATTTGTGTAAACATGTTCATTATTCTGATGAATCACATGAAATCACACATATTTGTTGAAGATTGTATCCATAATATTTAATAATGTTATCACAATGTATCACACCAATTTGTACTAATGTTGTTAATACATCTGCAGATTTTATGTAGCAGATGTGTTGTTACCACAATGTAGCACAAATTGATTATCACAATGTCCAGTCAAATATTATTACAAAGGCTAAATGTTATCACAATGTATCACATCATTTTCCAACAGATTATGATCAACACTAAATGTACCACAATGTAGCACAAATTGAGATTACTCTAGGGCTTAAGGCAATCGTCTCTGTCTCAAATACATGAAAGTATTTTCACTATATTTGGATTCCAATTGAACAAGAATATTAACGTACAAAATGACCATCTTGCCCTTGTTCATATAATGTCATTAAATGAYADTAATTTATTTATAGAAATACATTAATTAAGATTCTTTTTAATCTTACCCATTGATTATTATAATATGTGGTTGAGATTGGTTCTCACAGTTACCACAAACAATTCAGTTCTCATTTGATTAAGCCCCTATACATACATACATATATATATATATATGTGTGTGCATGTACGTACATACGTATGCACATATGCATACACACGAAGACGAAGGATCGTGAGAGAATATGAATTAAAGTGAGAAGCGTAATAAAAGATCTGAACTTCTGATCACTTTTAATCTCACACCCACCCTATTAATTATGTTTCTCAAGGAATTGATCTGGTACATCTCATTAGGGTATCTTTAATTAGAATTGATCAAAGGAGGAAAATTCCTTTTACCCTCCTAATCATAACTTTCATTCTTACTGTAACCCAACCTTATCGTTTTATATTTTTATACATATTAATTTAACTAATTAACAAAAGTAATAGAGATTAATTGTTCAACATAATTATATATGAATTAATAATTATTGATATTCGCTTTAATTTTTGTTGGAAAAAACAAGAAGAAAGTCTCTGTTTACATAGAGTTGGAAGAGGGCAGTTGAGATGGAAAGATCACAGATTTGACTACAAAAGTCAAACGCCATTTTAAACCTAATTCGAAAGGGTCGTCAAAGTGTTATAAGTACTAAGAAAGACATTGCTTTACTGTAACTTAGTCCAAAGAGCAATTTCTGCATCAAGGTTCATTTCTATCTCTATATCTCTCTCTTCTTTTGTTTAAGCACAAAAATTTGATGGGTGTTGAATGAGGTCAATATTTAGGCATATACATATATATACTTTTTTGCCACAAATCTTGAATATATATATATATATATACACCAAATTTATGAATCGAATATTTGGTATTAAGATAAGTGATTAAGGTTAATAGGGTTTATTAATTTAATGGACAAAGAGTCGTTGTCTACTTTATAAATACTCATCAACCATCCCACCTCCCCATTCCATTTTCTGCATCTTTCCTGTTCAGATTTGTGGGAAACCCTCAAAAAGCAGAGAGAGATCAAAAAGGTTGAAACTTGATTAGTTTCTCTCTTCAATTATGCATGTATCCATTCATCCATAAATCTCATCTCCCACAAGAGAATTGATGCCAAAAACCATCTGGAATTCAGTTATACGTGTTCTTTTCATTTCATGTAAAGTTTTTGGTTTACAGTATGGTTGGTTTTTAAAACCCAAAACAGAAACAGATCATGGAAATCCTTGATGTTCAGGACGTTGTTTGGGCAAAAATGAGCTAAATTTTTTTCAACTTTTTTGGGTTTCTTGATACTGTTCATTTTGTTGTTCTAATGAAGTTTGTAGTTTATAAATTCGATTGTTTTCTTGATGATTTTGAGCTTGATTTCAGCCGCATCGTGATGTCGTTTCCGAATGACTCAGGGGAGATGTCTCCACAAAGAAAACTCGGGAGGGGAAAGATCGAAATCAAGCGGATCGAAAACACAACGAATCGACAGGTGACCTTTTGCAAGCGTCGTAGTGGTTTGCTCAAGAAGGCCTATGAATTGTCTGTTCTTTGTGATGCTGAGGTTGCTCTCATCGTCTTCTCTAGCCGTGGCCGCCTTTATGAGTACGCCAACAACAGGTACAGTTTAGCTTCTGGGTAAATTATATATAACTTCTGATTCTTCTAATTTTGCATCTATTGTGAGCAAAATCTTGAATATCCACAAAAGATTCATGTGCCATCATAACCTTCTCCTAATTTTCCTACCCAAAAAAGTAGTTTAAAATGGTTTTGACTTTGGTTTTCTTCATGTCTTTTGGGTGTGTATGGTACATGAATGAATGCTGGTATATTTGTGAATGACTTCTGGTGAAGATTTAAGAACCTGGAAACAATCATAAGGTGTTTGTGAGATTTTTTAGCTTATTTTTTCTTGCAGAACAAAGATTCACTTGTCTTTCTCTTTTTCTGCTTTGTTTCTTTTCCTCAATGAGCTTATTCTTGTTTTATAAATTTATTTTATTTTTTACTTTTTTCTTCTTTATGATCCAATATTTGTTTCATATTTTGGTACCTACAAGATCTGTTGTTAAAGCAACCATTGGATATGTTGTAAGCAAATAAGCAAAGATTTAGGAAGTGTATTGCAGAACACTGAGATCAGCTTCCCATCTACCGTTTCTCCATTGCTGTTCAACCTCTCTCTCTCTCTCTCTCTCTCTCACACACACACACAAACACAAACACAAACACACACAGATACACCCACGAACTTACACACACAAGTGGTATAGTAGCTAGGGAAGGCCTACAAAGATGTTGTCAAGTTCCTATTTGTTCAAGACTTGTATCTTTTTGACACTTCCTTAATAAACATGTCAGTTAAACATCACCCAAAGCAAAATGAAAGGACTCTGAGAAAAGAGATGTCATCAAAGCCTTGTCAAGAAAAACCAAAAAGCTTTATTAGGTTTTCAAATCAAATTTACGATTTTTATATATTTGATAAGAAGTTTCATCTTTCTTGTCACAAAAGATTTTCCCCATAATCAACCATATTAGGGATTTACCATTTAGGGCTTCATAAACTTCCTTCAATTAAACTCCTTCATTTTCCACACAAGATTCTGCTTCAAAGTAACGCTAATTGCAACTAGGGGGTTTTTTTTTTGTTTTTTTTTATCAGAAATACTTTTGAGACTAAATTTTAGGGTCGCAGGTGAAGTGGGTATCCATGCCCAAATTTTAGGGATTATATAAACAATGGCTGATCAGTCTTCCATATCGGTCAAAATTAGGGTTTATTACTTGATTTACTTTGACAAGTCTAAAATAATAAATTAGGGTTAGGAAGTACAAATTTGAAGGATGGGTACTATCTTGTTAAAAAGAAGTACCTTTTTTATCTTTGCATATTTAAATTTAGGGTTACCAGTAGCACTAGCATATTTTCTCAAAATATTTAAGAACAAAATGGTTTTCTTTTATATCATTAATTTTGTCTTTAATCAAATAACCACATCCAAATCTAAGAAGTGTAAATAACTATTAGGTGTATGGGTAAGATTTGTCTCAACAAGAAAGAAATCTTTGGTAACGTCATAACCCAGATTTCATTTTCAGTTTCTTGACTTCTGACATAATGGGCAAGTTCTTGCCCCTTTTGTTTACTCACTTCATGATTTCTTTTCTTTGAAAAGCAGTTCACATATCTTTAATGGTGAAATAAACACACACACTGATCTTTCCCTTTGTTATCACAGTAAAGACTTCCCCAAAGGTATTCAAACTGCTGAAACTGAAACAGTAAACAAAGGGAAGACCAACTTAAAAGAGAGATGTATTTCAACTTAGGTGATTACACATAGATCTTGCGTAGATATATTTGAGTTTGTGTGTCTGTGTGCGATATGTATATATATACATCTATATATATAAAGATAGAGAGAGAGAAGGTACAAGTTCTGGAGAACCAATAGGAGGGTATCTTATGCATGGGGAGAGAGGTAAATGGGCATCAGTGGCTGCTGCCATGAAATGGACGGCTCTGATTGACTCAGAGTTCACACAGAGAAAGGGTAAGCAATAATTTTGGATCTACCCGAGGTGGGTAAAAGGGTGAGAGTAAATGGGATTACCCAGGGTGTAATGGGTTTATGACACGTGGCAAAGATCTGTCCGTAGGAATGTCTCACCAATCATAAAGAAGGGATATGTGACGACGTGGCAGAGACAGCCAATCAGTATCTTCGGGAAAATTAAGGTAATATACAACATACAAGGGATATAAATAGAATCATTAAGATTTCCGAGAAAAGTGGGATTTTATTCACTTGAGTTGATTTTATGGTTTTCTTGAAATCACAACACTGTTTTCCAGTGAAATGCCTTTCGATTCAACAGTTGACCGGTCACAACCTTTACTGTTTGTTTTGGATGCCTTCATTCATATATCCTTTGAGCAAAACACAGAAGCAATCCAACAACAACACAGCTACAGTTTTGTCAACTCAAATATCATCTCATCTGCATATATATTCTCAATCCCATCTGTTAATAATTGTATGTTTTAAAATATGCATATATATTATGTCATTAGATATTTGATGATCAATAGTTAGAAATTTAATACAATTATAATGAAAACTCAATTCATAATGTTCGTCTTGTTTCTATGTGTTTAGATGGTCTATGAAGGTGTATGGAAGTGGGAAATTAATGCCTTTGTTTATAAGAAAGCCTTGAAATTTGTTTTCCCGACAGGGGTTTTGCCTAGTTTACAAAGCCGATAGATTTCATCTCTTAAGTTTTCATTTAATTACAAGATAATATATATGAAATGGTGAAAGTTGCTTATGTGTTATATTATTTAGCTTCTAGTTAGGGGCTGTTTACCAAATTTTCTATTAAGTCCTGTATGGATAAATTTGTCTGTSTGGATAAATTTGTCTGTCTGGATAAATTTATGTTGTTGTTTACTTTTCTATCTGAATCAACAGTCTGAATAATAGAAATGACCAATTTACCCTTGAGGATGAACTACGCACCCAAATGGAACCAACTATTTAATCAAGCTGCTAACAACAATTTCAATCACTTCAAACAAGATAAATCAGCAGCAATATAAGACGATCTTCATACTGTAAGCAAAATTAGGGATATAGAAACTAACCACCCACAGAGGCATTTCAGGCAAAGTGTGTTTAGTGCTTAGCCAAACCAAACCATACCCTAAGAAATTCTGAGCAACTCCGATGAACAGAACCACCCAAATCGGAGCAATTTCACACAAACTACCAGCTACGAACCCAATCGCATCACCCAGATCCTTAGCCACACCCAACATCGCAATCTGCCGCTGATTATCACCCAGATCCTTAGCCACACCCAACATCGCAATCTGCCGCTCATTATCACCCAGATCCTTAGCCACACCCAACATCGTAATCTGCCGCTGATTATCACCCAGATCCTTAGCCACACCCAACATTGCAATCCGATTTCGTTCATCGCACAGCATCCTTTATTCGATTTGAGGTGAAATCGGACAGCCATCGCACATCTTCCTTGACTTAAATCGATTGTTACCTTAGTCGGTTTCTAGTCTAAATCGCTCATTGAAGGATACTCTTGACCGGAGAAGAGATGTGTGATCGATGGAGGAGAAGGGTAGGGGAGTCTTTTGGCCGGCTTAATCTGGACAAGTTCCTTCTTTCATCTGGGCGAATAAGCCCATTTCTGAGTGATTAAGCCCAAAGTAAACAACCTAAAAAGTCTGTGCGAATAAGCCCATTTATCCACTAAGCTCATTAAGCCACAAGTAAACAGGCCCTTAGTGTATAAATGCAACCAACATGGCAACATCCTTGATTTTGTCACCATTATCGGAGCTTAATTACTTGTATTTGTGATGGATAAAAGAAATGCAGTTCTAAAATTAATTCTGTAAGCAATAAATGTATGATTTGATCTCAAAATTTCTAGGTCATCTTGAAGAAGTATCAAAGGTATGTTCATGCCTTGCTAGGCATAGAAACACCCTTTTCAAAATATGATCAATTGTAGAAAATTGCATTCCAATTCCTGGATTGTTATTAGAATACCTCAAGATTCTGTGGCAGCAACTATTCAAGAAATATGGTAGTAACTTGAGTCTTTAAGCATAAACAGTCAATCATGGCTAATTATAGAAAGAAACATTAGTTTTGTCATTAGATGTCTTCGAGTTAATATCAACACAGATTCTTTATCAGTTTTTACAACAACAATCAATCTTTCTGCTTTCAGATCCCAAGAAAGTCAGATGTGTAGGAACGAAACAACTTCACAATGTAGATAATTGGTGCGACTCATGACGATTGATTGATTATATATTTGAAACAGTTTATATGGGAAAAATAGCTCATGACCCAATTATTCTATCAACTCCTTTAATTTGTGGTCTAATCTGTTGGCCGAAATGTATAAATTTTGTTTAGACAAAGTGAAACGAACGAATGCTTCATGGATTAGTTCTAACAAAGGTGTGAAATACCAGAGTTACCAATAAAACATATTTAGAAAAATTAAGATCTATACAATTTTAATGTAAAATAAACTTAGAAATTAAGTAATTAAACAGTTTGATCGATCACTTTGCATTTACTAAAGCTAAAAATCCATTGAATCAGATATATAATTTTAGTCCATGTCTTTTGGCCAGCAAAAGTTCCTAAATAGTTGATACACTGTACTACCTTACTACAGTGAAGATAGAAGTTAAAACCCTAGTTTCTGGATCATGTATTTGATGAAAGAAGATGGATGCATTTAGCATGAAGTTGTTGCAGTTATTCTATACACAAATCTTGGAAGTTAATTAGTAATACTCTGCAACCTAGCTGGCTATCCCTAATAGTTTTCAGATTTCTATGATATGTTCATTAGGGCTTGTTACTTGTGTGGAGTGGCTTATCTGTTTTTGTTTAATTAATGGTTTTATGGTAAATAGATGGTCAATCATCTATACCCAGAATTTACTGGGAATCCTAAAAAGAAGTGTTTTTTTCTCTATAATTGTGTGTTGATATTTGTTTTGTTGTAATATATACAGCGTGAAAGGAACCATAGATAGGTACAAAAAGGCATGCCTAGATCCACCAAGCAGTGGCTCTGTTGCTGAAGCCAATGCTCAGGTAATATTAGCAGTTGATACAGATAGATTATATACACACACATATATCTACATATATACATACATATAGAATATGATGGTATTAATATGGCTTTATTTTTATAACAAAATGGTACAACACTTTATTTCAGTTTTACCAACAAGAAGCTGCGAAACTGCGTCACCAGATCGCGAACCTTCAGAATCAAAACAGGTAACTTTTAAGGGCGGATCCTGAGTCTGTTAATTTGGATGTTCCAAATAATTCATCGGCATCAATGTCATAAGCTTTTGTGAGAAGGCAATTTTACAGGAACATCATGGGCGAATCGCTGGGAAACATGCCTGCAAAAGACCTCAAGAATCTTGAAAGCAAGTTAGAGAAAGGGATTAGCAGGATCAGATCAAAAAAAGTATATATATATATATGTCATCCATTTTAATTGAACATTTAGAATCTCCAGTAATCTAGCTAACATGATCTGCCAATTTTCCCATTAAATCTGCAGAATGAACTTCTATTTGCTGAAATCGAGTATATGCAAAAGCGAGTAAGTATTAGTGTGCTCCTATTATATTAGCATCTTTGGTAGTAAAATCGGTTTTATAAGAAACCAAATGTGTCTAAAATGTCATAATAGTAAGACCAAATAATTATGTGTTATATGTAACTGTTGTTGCAATAAATTGATGGGACATTCTGATGTTCTATTTATAACATTTTTACATATAACATGCATAATTGTTTGGTCTTATAAACCCTGAAGTCCTATAAGGTAGTTTATCAAGACATTTAGATATATTTGACATCATCTAAAACCGATTTTATTATAATGATATATCTATAATGCTCACCATGCATATATAGGGTTCATAGCAATTTTCACAAACTATGTATGTTTTGTTTGCAGGAAAATGAGTTACATAACAGTAACCAGTTCCTCCGGGCAAAGGCACGTCTTGCATCATGTCCTTTGGTTCTCTTGACGATCTCTTATTATTATATATGTGTTTAATTCGTTGACTGATTAAAATGGTTATTTTGTTTGATTGTGCTGATTAATTAGATTGCTGAAAACGAAAGAGCCCAACAGCAGCATATGAGCTTGATGCCTGGAAGTTCTGATTACGATCAGCTAGTAGCACCTCACCAGCCATTTGATGGTCGAAACTACCTTCAAGTCAATGATCTTCAACCAAATAACAATTACTCTTGCCAAGATCAAACACCTCTCCAGTTAGTGTAAGATTAATTCATGTTTGATTAATTGGAATTAATCGCAATTAGTTAAATTAAAAGTATTAATTAATTAATACTTGCTGCAGGTAATGGATGGCTAATTAAGGAGGAGCTGAATGGTGATGATCAATATATATATATATATATATATATATAAATGGTTTTGTGGTTAATGGCAGGCAGCGTTAATTCGCTAAGTATGATCAAGTTTGACACTTAAATCAATTATGATATTGTTGTTTTATTTATTGCATGTGTCGTGCTAACAATTAATTAATTAATGTGTATCCTATGAAATATTTAAACAATCTTATTAGAAGTCGGTTCGGTTCAAATAAGAAGCGTGTATATATATATCATGAGAATATAAGAAAGAATATGAATTTATTGAAAACAGTCTATTTTAAGGTGCATATATATATGTGAAATGACGTTACAGATTATTCATATGGGTTCATATATGCATCTTCAAGTGGATTTTTTCGGTATATAAACCTCCCATTGTTATCTTCTCATGATATTTACTCCTTTTTTTTAACTTTCGACATCTATGCTATATTATAATATTTTTGATAAAAATAACTGATTAGACGTTTAATGGGTTCACTATGGTTTCAACATTACAGCAAAGCCTGAGTGTTGCACCCTTTCTTAGCAAAGCGCAAAAGACATAGTAGAGCAAATACCTAAAGAGATTAAGGAGCCGTTTACCGACCCTTATTCGGGTAAGCACTTATTAAGTCACGTTACCTTACCGGATGAATATGGTAAGGACCAAGAATCTTACCCGGTAAGAGCGAGACAAAGATCAAGAGTCTTATCCAATAAGTGAGGAAGATGACTCTTACCATGGTAAGCGCTTACCGGGTAAATTGTTGCATACGATGTAATTTTGGTGGACTGAAATCTTACTCAGTAAGTAGTTGATAGTGTTAAATTTTACCGGTAAACATTTATCGGGTAAGTGTTTGGTAAACGGCCCCTAAACAACCCATTATATATAGAACAAGAAAATGACCACATTATGACCACTTCTACTGTTTTTTCTTAAAATTCAAATTTACAATTTACTATTGCATATATGCATACTTCTCATAGCTTTATGTTTGAATTTTATAAAACAAACTGATAAACATATTTAAATACAAGATAGACGTTAAACTCTACTAATACAGTAGATACAAGATAGACTTTAAACTCTATTAATACAGCAGCACATTCAATATATAAATTTCAAATTATTTTTTTGTAACAAGGAATTACATTCATTTTCAAATATTTGTTTGTAATAAAATCTTACATCTCACAACATTGTAGGGTACATGTACGCAAAAGGTAACTTTAAATAAGCTTTTAGTTAGAAGTATGCCATTTTTAAATATTTATTTTACTCGATAATATTTTAGATTTGTATTTTTTTTTATCTAAAATAGCTTATTTATTAAAATTGAACAACTTAATTAGAAGCATATTGGAACCCTGAAGGGCTAATTACATCAACAAAGCTTGGAGTTTTCATGTCAAGAAGGTGATCTGGTGTGAAGATTTGTTGTAAAACAAGAACCATAACAAACCAATAAAATGAGTAAATGACGATGTTTTAAGTGGCTTGAGGAGTGTGCAATCGTGAAGTCGAGCATCGAGCCTTACGAGTCATGAAGTTTTTCAATGTGTGATTTATGCCAGCAAATTTGTGTACCATATATATAATTATACATACTTAGAGGTTGTTCGGTAGCAACTTAATAAGTTGTATAGAATGTGTGGCTTATTGTGTGGCTTATTCGGTAAGCCATACAAGGCTGTTCGATTGTGGCTTAATGAAACAGATGATGGCTTATTCGGTCAGCTGGTAAAAGGGTTTGGTTTGTATTCATCCCTCATTTTTCCTTCTTGCCCTTATGATTCACGCTCCCTGGAAACAAAATAGAAAACCCTCTCAAAATGAAACCGTCGCTGCCTCCCTTCTCCTTCCTCAGACGTGCCTCCTTCTCCTTCCCACGTTCATCCCTCCGTCTACCAGTCGTGCCTCCTTCTCCTTCCCACATTCATCCCTTCGTCTCCCATTCGTGCCTCCTTGTCTCTCCTCCCTGCTTAGAAAATTGAGCAAAAAAAAAGAGTAAAAAATCAAAGAGGAGAAAATCAAATATGTGGGTTCTTGTAGATTTCTTTCTTTTGCTTTTGATTTGTTGGTTTCTTTTTGTTGCTGTTTCAAATAGGAGAAACCAATTTTTTGTTTTGATAAAACTTGTGGGTGTCTTGTAGATTTTTTTCCTTTGCTTTTTGATTTTTTGGTTTCTTCTTGTTACTGTTTCAAATCGAAGAAGAAATATTTTTTTGTTTTGATTTTGGGTTTCTTTTTGTTGCTGTTTCTTATAGATTTCTTCATTTTTTGTTGCAGTTTCTTTTTCTAGCCTGCAAATCTACAATTGGGTCTAGGATCGTTGTTGTCTATATGTGAGTAAAATTGTAATGGGATAATCACTATTGATAAAAAAAGGAAATAAGGGTAAAACTGTAATTTATATTATTCAAACGATTTATTCAGCATAACAACCAAAGAATTATTTAACCCAATCCATATAGACAATTAAATCCCTACAAATATCTTAACCCAAAAAGGGTTAATAGAAAAACAACCGAACAACCCCTTACAATATGTGTCTACTATTATTAAACGAATGAATGATATTGAATAATTTAAATTAGGTTATATACTAAAAGTTAAAATAAGACACTGGAAAGGTGAAAAAAAGTCAAATAACATTGTTTACAAAAACTATGCATTAGATCATGGCATGCTAGAGGCTTAACATGGCGTCAAAGACAAGACTTGAGCCATGGTGTGCCACCAGTGGTGCAGTGGATCCAGAATGTCATGTGATCAGGGCACACTTAAGGGTATTAAAAACCCAATATTAAATAACCTATATGAACTGAAATGGGGTTCGAGTTAAAAGTTTTTGGGTTATTTGGTTTTGAGTTATTAAGAAATGCTTAGTAAGACACCATTAACGGCACCAAAAAAGGCACAATCTAACAAAATTAATAATATTCCAAAAGAAAGGCCGGTCAAAATCATCCAAAAGAAATGCTAAAATTGCTGAGAATGTCAATACCAAAAGCAATGAATGGGTCAACAAGAGTAGTGAGTGACTCGTCGAAGGAAAGTTGGGGGCACCAAAAGAAGAAGGTTGGGGCATCAATGAAAGAAGATTGTAGTAAATATGAGAATTGGGGTTAAAAAATGAATCAAACTTTTATGACATTTTGTTGGGGGCATGTGTCCCCTACCCCATAAGGTGGATCCGCCTATCTTTGCCATGACGTACCCACATAAATGATAACAACCTATTAGCGTATAGTTTACTGATGTTCATATGGGTTTGTGAAAAGAAGAATAAACCATGGACCAACTGTAATATTTTCTAATGTTTAATGACCTAATTTTGGATTGCATCAAAAAAGCGTACTGGTTTTGATTTATATTTTTGAAAATCTATTTCATAATTGGGAATGTATTACGTATTTGATGCAACTAAGTACGCAAAAGTACTACGTCTTTAATATACATTACAATAAAGTTGGCTTTACAGGACGTTTAAATCGTCCAAGCGTTCTAATAAAATAGTTTATAGAATTTAGCTATATGACCAAGTTATAAAACGTCTTATCTATAAGTGTTACAATATGTTTATATGATGTTTTTAAATGTTTCAACAAGTTTTTAAGGACGTTTTTAAAAATAAAATGTTCAGAGTTGAGCTTGTCATTTGTTGCAGATATACAAGTTTTTGGTTGTTTATGAACAGTAGTCTTTCACAAAATAGGTAAGCACACTTGGAGACAGTAGAGTGACACCATATAGTACTTTACTTTGATAGGTATGAGTTTGTCCTTTGTGTATAGAAGGACAAGACAAAAACTAATTTTGTTCAACAAGATTCATTTGATCGTTGACACTGGAATAACACTGAGGTTTCTTCAGTGTTCCCTGAATCTTGAATAGATTTCACACTTGTATAGACAAGCTTGTTATCACTGAAAACCGTATCAGATTACGAACTTGCTTGTCTTTATCTCCAGCTTTATCTTCAGCTTTATCTTCGATATCGCTGAAGATACTGTGGTATGAGTTTTGTCTTCCTAAAGAATACTAGTCTCTGAGAGAATTACAATGCATGTTCAGCGATCAATGAATAGACTCAGTGATGATTGCTTAAGTTAAATACGGATAATACACTTCGTAAGATAAAAATGATTATCATCAAATTATTGAGAGAGATGATTAACAGACTTGCTATATGACCCCTGCCTTGATACTTAAAACATTTTATGTCATGATTCTTAGTAGTAGAAGAATCAGTTTGTTCTTTTGAGGTGTTAATATCTTTAGGGCCAGATTTGGGATTAGAAGAAGACGAAGATGATGAGTTTTCATTTTTCTTTGAAGAACCTGTCTTCCAAGTATTGTTTCGTGATCCCCCTCCCTTCTCTTGAGTTCTTTCTCAATTTTAATGGTCATATGAACCATGTCCTCAATCTCAACATAATGGTACATTTCATCACGATCTCGTATTTCAAAATTTAAACCATGTAAGAACCTGGCCACTGTAGCATCCCTATCCTCCTCAGTGTGGCCCTGATCATGGTAACGTCCATCTCTTTAAAGTAATCTTCAATACACTTGCTTCCTTGCTTGAGGTTTTGGAGCTTGTTATGAAGGTCACAGAAGTAGTGGCTCGGTACAAAACGTCTCCTCATGACCATCTGCATTTAACTTTCAATAGGTCGTTCTCCATTTCTTCACTTGCTAATCAGAAGTTGATCCCACCATGTTAGTGCATAATCAGAAAACTCAATGACAACAAGTTTTACCTTCTTAGATTGGAGTATTCATGGCAGACAAAGATGAACTCCATTTTCGTCTCCCAATCGAGGTATGCTTCTGGATCTATCTTTTCTTTAAAAGAAGGGACTTTCATCTTTATGGAACTCAAATTATTG